TTTTTGGGCCGTTTCGTTAAATGAGTTTCCCCACCCTTCCCCCTTTTTTGACCCTTTGGGTTTGGGTTCCGGGTTCCAGGGTTTGGGGGCCACGTGCCAAAACCCAATAGAGAGAGCTTTGGACCCAAAAAAGTTTTGTTTTGGGGTGTATTTATTTTTCCAGTTTATAGAAAAGCCAGACTTCGTTCGTTTTTTTTGTCCACCCCACCATTGGTGGGAAAAAACCGGGGGGGGACAACTCCCCTCTTTTGTTGTGTTTTTGTTTTTTTAGGGAGAGGAAAGGGGGGGGTGTAATTGCCCAAGTTTTATTGTTTTTTACCCTTTTCCAAGTTCCGGGGCTCGGGGGCCCTTCAGTTTTTTTTTGCGTCCCCCTTTTGGGGGGGGGGGGGGGGGGCTAGGGGGCATGCATTCCTTCACTTGATGGCGTCACATTCACATGCTTGGAAAGTTGAAGTCTTGACAGTAGCAGTCTCACAGCTTGCTCTGCGCTACTCACAGCGCCGAGGTTTCCCTCTCTAGTTCCCATCCGTCTCTATCCCCTCGCCAATGCGGGCTCACGTAACCAAGTGTATCAAGATGGCGCACCGTCGCTCCGCGCTTGACGCCTCACGGTTCGCGCTGGGTGGATGCGGAAGATTGTGGTCACTCCAACGCCTCCAGCGAAAAAGCACCAACGTTCGGCCGTGTTACCCTACGTCCGCGTTCGCGGCGACTACGGGGACCTCTCAAGGTTCCGTGATGTCAAGGAGCGGCCGCGTTGAATACCCGCCACGGGGCAGGTCTCACATGGTAGCTTCGGCTGTAAGCAGCGGCGGCATGGCCTTCTTTCCGAAGGTGGGTGAGAGGAAGATCCAGAAACATGATGGATCATGATTTCGCTGGCACATCAACTGCTGTACTCCGTTGCGCCTACGACGGCCCCTAGACGAAGCATGGTTCTCTGTGCTCTGTGCCGACTATGTTCCAGGAGGAAAACTTCTACGATTCGCGGTAAAAACGATGTACAGTAGTAGGCTCTGCAGTACATAAATTGAACTCAAAGGGGATCGCCAATCAATCGGTCAATCAATCAATCGCTCAATCAATCAATCGCTCAAGAAATTATGCCGAAATTTGCATCATGAGTTGCGAGGCAAGCTGATTTATTTGTGGACACGAGTACACCGCAGCAGTAGTTGGGTGTTGTTTTCCTACGAGAAATGCTCCCAGAGACACACAAACAATGGGGAACTGGGGGAAGATACATGGGCCATCCTACATGCAGATAATGAAAGGCGAAAATATGGGAGACACAGACAGACGTCCCTTACGCTGCACACCCCAGGAACCCACGAGAAAAGAAAAAAAAGGCGCCTAGTCGACAACCCCCCTCGCGCTACTTCGTTTGTGCCCTCTGGCACCCCAGTGTTTATTTGCTTGCCCTGCGTGCTTATTTCACTGCCGCACCTGGGCTTCAAGTGCTGCAGCCGAGGTGGCGAGAAATCGGGTGCGATAAAGTGGTATGCATAGTGAATCGGACAGCCATACATAGCCAAAAAAGGTACTTCGTTTGTGCCCTCTGGCACCCCAGTGTTTATCTGCTTGCCCTGCGTGCTTATTTCGCTGCCGCACCTGGGCTTCAAGTGCTGCTGCCGAGGTGGCGAGAAATCGGGTGCAAGAAAGTGGTATGCATAGTGAATCGGACAGCCATAGCCAAAAAAGGTAGAGACGCCGATTTTTTCACTACATGCACTGTACATCATCACTGCCGATGTACTGAAGTATCATATGTTGTAGGAAACATAGGAAACTTGGAAAGCGGCATTCGTTCTGGACGAGAAACTCTGTGTGGAATGTGGGAACCCAAAAGAAACACCCCCCAAAAAAACAACCCAAGAGCAGAGATTGAAACGGTTCTTTGCGAAGACAGTGTCACCAACAACATCAACAACTTCTTTATTGAAAAGCATCGACCACTTGTACTTCTTAGCTGCTGTATCAACCCCAAGAGCTTGAACCCAACTAAAAATGGCGTCTTGTTTCCCGGCCACACGTGTTTTGTACCGAAGGCACGAGAAATTGAACCGTGTGTCATATGCTACGACATTGCGGCGCTACTTCTTTCAAATGCACCCATTACTATAGTATGCGATAGAGACAGGGTCGGGTATACGAAAGGCAGTTGCGTTGTAGTCTGGAAATTCTATGGTGGGTTGCCCGAAAATCATATTTCAATCGAGTATGCATATTCTAATAATAATATCGTTTTCGTAGTCGGTTTGCTTGCGGGGTTTAGAGCGAATCGCTAGAAAACCCGAGCATCGTCCACGTAGAACCTAGCCTCGAAGAGGTGTTCAACACCCGGAGATCCTCCCACACTTGACGGCGTAAAACTGCAGTCCGTGTCCGGCCAATAGTCCGTATCGAGTGAAGTCTGCGGTGCATGATAAACAATTCCATGGCTGAAACGCAAAAGAATACCGTGATGTGTTGGCGGTGGTGGTGGTTTGGGCCAGGTTTGGGGGCCCATGTCTCGAAAGGAGTATACTCACTGGAAAGACTAAGGAATGCAATAAAGCAGTGCCCCCAACCTCAGCCCCCCCGGCAGAAGCAACGCGCGAACTACGGAAGCCGTTTCTTTCCTCGGCTTTTTATTCCAACATCAAACAATATCGCGCACCCTCTCAGCAGTGTTACAATTGTAACAGAGAACCGGTCGTGCTTCGTTGATCCATGGAATAGCAGGGATGTGTTGTCTGTACGTGGCGTCGGACAGGATACTTAGAATGAGTACAACGCCGGAAACGGTTCGCAACCATCAAAGCTTTCATTGGAGGCGTTGACCAATCGGTGCGGTCGGTACGGTTCCTAAACACTACTGCGAAACGCCCAACGCCCCAGAGATACTCTGTGAAGCGAGGTCATGAAAACGAGACGCATTATCGCTCTCAATACTTTTCATAAAGAGTTCCTATGTTTGGGTCGTGTTTTCTACAGGGCTAGGTTGTGTCATTTGTCCGCTTCCCGTGTGTTCTCCGGCCGTTGTTGTTGCTGCTGCTGCCTTTTCTGCTGCCTTTTCTGCTGCCTTTTCTGCTGCTGCTGCTGGTGGTGGTGGTAATGCCGCCAATGCCGCTAGTGCTGCTAATGCTGCAGTGTCGCATTCGTGGCTAGACAGCTCAACATCATTTTCACCCGCTCTCCCTTCCCTCCAGTGCCTTCAAAGCAGCATCACTGGATGCAAAGCCTTCTCGGCGGCTGCTGGAGATTCAGTGGAAGACATCGTTTCCTCCGTTCAAGGCTACTACGACGACCCGAACGCCCTCAATTTTCACATGCAGGTTTGTATATGAAGGGTCTTCGCGATGGTGTTCCCCGCACTCTTGTACTTTCCATTGTTGCTGTATTGTTGATGTTACCATAGTGCTTCTAGCTTCGGTAAGTATCAAGGGTCACCTTGCTTGTGGACCTTAGCCCCTTGGCCACCGTTTCTTGTAGCAAGGACGCAGACAACAGGGCCCTCTTCGTGGGGCCGTTATTCTACCTATACCAGGGGAACATTCTATGCGACAACAATACTGCCCTCCCTGACGATGAATCAATTCGGAGGTAGGGGCGTTTGTGTCTTGCATGCCTTAGTTGTTAGACCCTTGACCACGCGTCCTCGATTACTCACACGACCGATCACACGCGGGGGCAGGGGATAGTAGACCCTGGGTGTGAGAATCTTCGACCACTGTTTTTCCCCTGTTTTGTCAGAGTGCACGCGACGAAGATCCATGTTGCTGATCTCAAATCATGCTTGCACAACGTGGGGGTGAACCCGCACGAAGAATGATACCACACGTGCTCGCGTTTTGTCGTATATCGACCGACTACAATCCTGACATATCGCCCGTTTAGCGTACAATCGCCGAGGCCTAATTCCGTTGTTGTCGTACCCCTGGCGAATCTACTTGGATGCTTCTCCTCTAGAATTGCAGTCATGTTTGCGACACATCGTAAGACGAGGGGAACGTTTACGCGAAATGGTTTTTCCTTTCCGACGGCGGGTGGGGCGGGGGTATCTGGGCATGCCACAACAGGCATGGGGAGAGGACATCCACATCGGGAGGTACGACCTCCTGAGCACGGATGAGCTGAAGATGGGGCCGCGAGAGCGCATCAAGCGGGCCACCGCGCTGTCGACCCGGGGGCTACTCGGCAAGGTCTTTCCACCGTCGCCAGGCGGGGAGACCACTATTATGACGGTCATGGACATGGGCTCCGCGCACGGCAGCACGGCGAGGACGGCGGCCAAGGAGCACGGGTGCAACGTAAGTAGTCCGTCCCTGACACTACTACTACCGGTATTGGACGATTGGGACGCTTGGAAAATCCCATTCAACACCGAAACTGATTTTCTCTGAGGTTTAGAAGTCAGGGCGGGTGTCGTGCGAAGTACAAGCCAGCCTCGCTTACGCCCTCGAGGAGTGTGTGTGTGTGTGTCTTTGGAATTGGCATGAACCGCGCTAGCTGGCTGACCATACGCGAAAGAAGACGCTTTCTACAAGTAGTCAAAGGGTTCTACCGACAAGGGAGACGCGGGAGTTGGACGACATGTCCTGCTTCGTGCGTGTATGTGTGTTTTGAGTTGGCATCGACCGCGCTAACCCGCTAACCATTGAAAATACGGCAATCTGAGCGCGGTTGAAAACAGAAAATTCTTCAAATGGTCATGATCTGGCACCCCGCGAGGGGGGGGCATGGGGAAGTGTGTGCGTACAGATCAACGCTGCTTTCGTTAAAGTTCGAAAACGCGTTCTGATTTTCAAGTTTCGTCAGAACCCCGAAGGGGCCCTTGGCCTCGAGTCACGCCCGGCTATTCCGAATTCATGCCAAACTGTGGTAGCGATGACCTAGGTACCCCGTTTGTGTTTTCGTCAGTGGTAGTTGTAAAGCAGGAGCCTCAGGCGAAGATGATCTACTGCAATGCATTTCGGTGTCGTAAAAATAATCCTGCCCTCTTTGAAACAGGTGGTGTGCATCGACATTTCTCGTGGGTTCAACGCCGTCAACGCTAAGCTCTCAGCCGCCGCGGGATTGTCCGACAAGATCATCATCCCCGGAGAGAGGTGCGGCTGAATATCTGCAAAGGAGGAGGGGGGGGGGGGGGGGGGTCCTATTCTTGTTCTTTCGGGTCCCCTGCCTTCCTTGGTCGAAAGCCGCTCAACACACCCATCATCCTCCCTTCTCTTTCTCTCCTCCCTCTCTTATCTACTATCTCTATCTACATCTTTGTGCTCGATTTCATGCTACCCTGGCCGGCGAAACCGGATGACGTCCTCACTCCCAGCTTGGTACGGGTACAGCAGTATGAGCCCCATGACCAACAGGCCACAGCATCCGTGACACTGAGCCCCCGTCCTCCTCCGCCTCCTTGCCTGCTGTGTGCGCTGACTGGCTCACGCACGCCGTGGGTGGTGCGTGTGCGCATGATTTGGGGCATACGGCCACAGGTCGTACTTCGACACCGAGATGCCAGCCGCCAGCATGGACGCCGTGCTTTCCCAGGACGCCTTCGGGCATGCCAGCACGGAGCACCACAGGGCCATCAAGGAGGCCGCGCGTGTCCTCAAGCCCGGCGGGGTGATGGCCTTCTCGGACTTCATGCAGTCAGACGACGCGGACCCGACCAAGCTGGGAGAGGTTTGTTTGTGTCGTCCAGGGTGCTGCCCATGTCCGCGGCCGTGCGGGCGGGGGAGCGCGGGCCGTCGGGCCGCGGTGCTCGAAGGATAGACTTCTTTGGCACGAGACGCGCGTTTGACTTGCTGGCTCCTTCGATGAAACACCTGATTGGTTTGTTGGCTCCGTACCTTGATGAGAATGGAGAGGGCTGGCAGCCGAAGTGCGATGAGTCGAACTGCTGTCATCTGTGTAGCTTAGAACTTGGTCTCGCTGGTGCAGTTGGAAATATTTCCTGGGGCCAGAAGAACACGGCGGGTCTGGAAGACGTGCGCGACCTGCCTACGCTTGAATGCACAGATGTCTACCGAAACGTTTGTAGCATGCGCAAGGACAACATGTGCAGCACGTGCACAATCTCTGGAAGCAACGTGGTGAGAAAAACTACGTTGTTTCGCACGTGTTTGGACCACCCTCGCAAAGTGCATGTCCGAAAATGGACGAAAAAAACGCCCTCGTTGCGCAAAACCGACCTGGATGCGGAACACCAATAGCTTCGGAGCAGGCGTGGAAGGCATGTGTATCGTTGGTCCTCCCCCCCGCCTTCCCCAAAGATGATGGTAGTCCACAAGCAATCCCTCGAAAAAATGGAACACAAACATCAATAGAACCCCCCGAGGTTCGATTGACCGTGTCCCTGCGAGGAGTACGAATGATGATCGGTCTCGCAAGAAACATGATGTCGCCAGTACAACGGCGAAGGCGAGCAAAAAGTGGCTATACCCCCCCCCCCCCCCTCGGCCCCAACCAGGTTTACCAACACATTGGGATAAGCCGTCTCGCCAGCCCCGGATTGTACGAGGAGTGGGGAAACGCGTATGGCTTGGAGCCGGTAGAGTTCGACGATCGCACCTCCAACTTCAGTGTTCACTACCAACACGTGAGCGTGCCCCCTTTCGCGGTGTCCCACACACCCTTGTGCCCCCCCCATCCCCCCTTCTGTTCCCGGCAGTAGCCTTGCGAGGACATTAAGCTTGATTCTAGTAGGGGTTCGGGTTTGCTCTAGGGGTTAGGGTTACGAAACTCCCCTCTCTATTTCAATAGGTATATGACCCTCAATGTCCTCTCGAAGGCGGTCCGGCCCCCGGCGCCGCCCACCGGCACGTGAGCTCGCACTCGTTCCCGTTCTGTTTTCCGCCGTCGCTCTCACGGACCCTCACCATGGGCAGTCTGTCTCTGTCACCATAGGCAGTCTGTCTCTGCGTGTGGTCCCGACGCAGCACGCGCCCGTTTCTTTTGCAACACAAGTATCTAACTCGATTTTGTGTGCGAGGAGGAGAGCCGCCTGCTACGTAGAACGTGTGCGAGTCCGCTAGGTCGGTTGCTACAGCCAGTAGAAGCAACTTCAGAGGTCAAGTATTTTTGGCTGGACTCCTAGGAGGTATGTAAGCATTGCAAACGGCATTTATTCCTATTGTGATATTAGTTGTTTCGCCGACCTGTAGCTGATCAATTGGACAGTCATGATGTCTTGAGGGAGAAAGAGAGGATATCAAGACAAAAATTTCCAGAACGGGCCGTTTCTATTGTTCTTCGTGAATTTCATTGTTTGTGGCATGTGTTTCTGGGTTGTGTCAGACTTTTCCTGATCGCCGGCCGTCCTCCTCTGTCTCCCGTTGTCTCTGTCTCTGCGTCTCTGCGTCTCTCTGTCTGTCTCTGTCTCTGTCAATGTCAATGTCTCTGTCTCACTGCCTCTCTCTTTCTCTGTGTCCCTGTCTCTATCTTTGTCTCTGTCTGTCTATCTGTCTACCTGTCTCTCTGCCTCCATCCCCCCCCCCCCCCTCTCTCTCTGACTCGCTCTTCTCCGCCTTCTCTCCCCAACCAATAGCTCGTGGACGTAATTGCGTCCTTGAGGGGTACCATAAAAGGCGTGGACGACGAGTTCTTGGACAGGATGACCTCGCGATACGGCTCCTGGTGCGTCGCGGCTGAGTTTGACGTCCTGCGGTGGGGCGTGATCGTTCTCAAGAAGAGTTCGACGGTGAGTGATATTGTGCCGTTCTTGTTGTCGATGTTGTCGTGGTCGCTGCTGCTGCTGCTTTGTAATGCCAAAACCGTCTTGATGTCTTACCGAGTACATACCTCCCTGCTCCCGTGTGGTAAGTATGGAGTGTGGCGTGGCAAGCATGGGATCATTAGCGAGAGGGCATGCGTGCGGCTGAGAGAGGGTGAGCGTGGGCGCGTCTTTCTTGTTTTTCAGTGTACGAAGGAGGACAGCAATCCAAGGAGTGCCCTCGGTGTTGCCCATGTACACCTTGAGATCGATAGAGTGCCGGCCCACTCATCAGAAACACCTGTTTTGAGCTTGGCTCAAACCCTGTTTTTTTTCCTCTACTGAATAAAGATTTCTCTATATCGCCGGCCGCTATGCTCCATTTCTTAGGTGTTTTTCACAATTTTGTCCAAACTCTGAGCCTCGGTTTCTTACGAACCTATTTCTTACGAGCGGGCCGGCACTTTACACGCTGCTTTCCGCCGATATGTCACCAGCGTCGCTGCAGCTGCAGCTACTACGGTGCATATTTGCTGAAATGAATTATTTTCGTTGCGGGGTTTTAGTCTTTCCATCACGGCTTTTGCGCGGGGAAGGGAGGGTGTGTGTGTATTCATAGTCGTGCGTGCCGTAGTCGTTAGACCATTGACCTCGCATCCCTACAAAGACGGGACGGAGCACACCAGGTTTTCACCGGACCAGGCTAGCACGTCACCAAGCGCGAAGCGAGGTACTCGGCGAGTCGCATGGAGGGTGCGCTGCATCCTGCTAAGGGTGTTCGGGGGAGGAAACCGTGATTGTCTATGTCATAGCGTTCGGATAGGGGGAGGGGGGAGAGGAAGAAGTCGAAAAACGGTTTCATTTGACGACCGATCCTTGCTACCCCCCACCTGCCACGCGCTCAGAGAGAATGAAGAGGTCAGAGCCATGTTTGTTTCCATGTTGTGTGCGATGATACCGTTCTTTCTCTTCCCACTGGGCTTGAGGCACGTGTTAGTGTGAACGCGCTGCCTGTAGTTTCACCGCTTTCCTTTTTCCGCCTCGCAGGGGTGATGCGCAATGCTTCACGCTGGGACAGCGATGACCATTTTGGAGACAGCTGTGAGATGATCGCATCGCAATGTTGGCCGCCGCCACCGCCGGCGCGAGAGGAAGAAAATAAAAAAGGCATTACAAACGTTCGTCTTGAACGTACATCCTGACGTTTGAGCAACGAGGGAGTTTCCGCAGGTGCAATGCATAACGCGCAAAGGTGGGGGCTCATGGGGGGTGGGGGTGGGGGTGAGGGTACGTGCTTGTTGAATGCCTTAGGTGTTTGACCTTGACGACGCCTGCATATCGTTTGAGAGACGGATCAGGCGCGCGGGGGGAGGGCAAGAATGGTGTTTGCGGTGTTTGATTCGTAAAGACGCACGGATACTGCGCGTTCAGAGTGCTCCTTGCCGTGAACGAAGACGTGCACCTTGGTCAATGAGAAGGGGGGGGGGGTGTACTCATAGTCGTGCATGCCGTAGTCGTTTGACCATTGACCTCGCATCCCTACAAAGCCGGGACGGAGCACGCCGGGTTCTCACCGGACCAGGCTCTCACATCACCAAGCGCGAAGCGCCGTGAGGTATTTGGCGAGTCGCATGAAGGGTGAGCTGCATCCTGCTAAGGGTGTTCGGCATCTTGTGCTTACTTCCTTGCGTACGGATGACAGCTACGTATGACTTAATTTATTTTCTGGTGCTTTCACTTCCAGAGACAGTTGTAAGCACTGTGTAACTGCCTCGAGGAAGCTTGACCATTTTAACACAACGTGGTGCGATCATCCCCCGTTGCGCGGAGTGAGGTTTCTCGACCCCGCACAACATGATCTACTCGACCACCATTATGGTTACCGCCAAAAAAAAAAACGAGGTAAAAAAAAAACG